CACAGTGGCTAAGTGATTAGCCCTTTTGATTGGTAGCGCTGGGTTTGCCGGTTCAAATTCCAACTACAGCACTGCCTGCCTGAAGTTTGCATGTTCTCCCTGTGCCTCCAATACTCCAAAGACATGCTGGTTGGCTAAGTGTCCCTAGTATGTATATGCATGAATGTGAGTTAAAGACCTTAAATTGTAAGCTCCTTGGGGGCAGGGACTGATACGAATGTACAATATATATATATATATATATATATATATATATGTACCTGTAATAAATACATTCAATAATAAATAGGCCATGGGTGGCCTAAGATGAGCCTGTCATTTCAGTGCTTTGGGCACATTATTGTAGAGCTGAGCTCCTGCTAGTCTTTTTTACAGATGTTCATTTAAAAAAAATGCAAGCAGCAGTACAAATCTACACTATTACTATCTAGGGCATATATGTCATTTTTGTCAAAAGGGTGCTAATCACCATTCCTCATTGGGAAGCTGGCACTTTTGTACTTCTGCCAAGGCTGCTTCGTCCCTGAATAACACCGCTATCTGACTTTGAATCATCTCCCCCCCTTCCCTCCTACTGTCCTTCTCTACAATTTATTTTCATTTGAAATATCTATGGCAGCTTTTTGGAATAGAATACAACCTATTGTAACATTTTGTGTTCCATCTAGATAAATTATATTTCTTTTTTCTCTATTCCCAATGATTCTGTGACTGACAATCTGTCTGCTTTTACATTTGCAAAGAGGGTTGTTATATTTGGTGACATATTTTGGTTAGTATGAACTCCAGAGGGCTTCTTAGTGTAGCCTGCTTCCTATCTCTGTACTTCAGGATGACCACCAAGATGGTAATTTATGTCAGAAAATTTCATTTTTGGGAGATTCAGATCTTTACTAATCTCAGAATGTTATAGAATGTTATATAAGAAGTTATAACAAAATTAATAAATGCATTTGTTTCATTTGGTTGATGTCACATGTTGTGATAGTAGTTTGGGGCCATGGGGATATTAATTTAATTTTCAGTTTTGTTCAATAATTCAAATTCAAGTAAATTTGTGATTTAAAATGAATGTGTAATTGTCACAGTCAGTCAGTTCAATTCCACAGACTAATGCAGTTCTTAGGTTTTAAAAATTCAGGGCCGCTGAATTTTGTACTATTTATTCTGTTGCATCTGAAAATATTGAATCCTTCCAAATAGTTTCAATATATGAATATCGAATCCACCTGAATCCCCCCAGACCAATTAATATACTAAATTTTTGCCGAATACAACAAAACAAATCCCAAAAATGATTAGTTCAACAATAACCAATATGACAAAATGTAATTCTTCAATTAATGAATGCATCCAAAACAAAATTAAAATTTCCGGTGTACACATATCTAATTTTCATTACATTGATCTGTATTGTTTGTGTATCCCCTCAACCTCTGTACTTACTCCTATTCTTCACCAGTGCTGACACACTGTACTGACTGCACCATTGAATGTAAAGGTGACAAGGGCCAGTGCATTTACAGCATTGGATAGCGAATCTGCATAGAAAGTCAAGGGTCTGCCAAACATGTACACTGTTTAGACAACTGTCTAAACAGAATTACAAACCATTTAACAGGTATGGCCCCTTATACACAGGGCTGCCCAGCTGCAGTGCATCCCTCCTGGTGTTGTAGTACCAGGTGCAGCTTCCAGCCTTCCTGCAGGCAGCCTGTCAAGTTCTATGGCAGCCTGTGGCTGGACGGGGATGAATGCTATACTAAGTGGTATCAGTGTTTAGGGTTGTGTGCATTCAGGGATGAAAGTCTGTTCAACCCTGTCCAGCAGCAGCCTGTCATAGACTTATACAGTGGGGCTGGACACTACATCTGTCCCTGTCACCTGTCCAGATGCACTAAAGTGGTAGAAAGGAGTCACTGCAGCTCGATGGCTCCATGTGCAAGAGGCCTAAGACCAGGGGCAGACTGACCATTTGGAAACTTGGGCACTGCCCGAGGGCCCGGGGTCAGTAGGGGGCCCCATGAGATGCCCCTGGTACCTTTTTCATAGGCTTTTTTGAGTTTGGGCAAGGACACAGGGGCCCCATGATCCCCTATTGCCCGGGGGCCCCAAGAGTTGTCAGTCCGCCCCTGCCTAAGACTGTGCACACATACAGTATGTATTTTATTGTATATGTAGCTATTATTTCCTGGATTGTGACTTTAACGAGAAACTACACTGCATCTAAGCACCAAAAACCTAAAACGCTATTTAATTAATTATTAATATTCAAAGAAAACTCACCCATTCATCCAGGTCTCCATGCTTTATTTTGCTGAGAAGTCACTTTGAAAAACACCCACTAGCTTTTATGACCGTAGACACCTTGAGTAAGGGCAGATGATTCATGTAGCATTTACTTCCTGAGAATGTAAAAAATAAAAAATGTATAAAAAAAAAGTTTAAAACGAGTAAATATAATATACTTTCCTATCTATTTACTAGTACTAGCACCATAAGGATTAAAATAGACAATGCTGATTTAGAGAGTGAAATTCCGTTTTAAAGTAAGTACAGCTATGGAGTTGTACTAATTGACAACTATGCCAAACTAATCAGAGAATAAAAGAAACTAAAGTTTTTGTGGCACTTCTTACAACTGAAAAGAGCATTGAAATAACTTAGTGATGCTCTGTTATGTTCAAATTTTTTCTGCTATCATTATTATCCTGCAGCCCTAAAAAGAATTTTCAACACTTTCAACATCCTTCCTCCTGCATCACAAGTAACTAATTACTGTTAAGGTCTGTAGTCTAATTGTTCCTAATTTTACTCTGTGTGTATATATATATATATATATATATATATATACAGTTGATTCCGACCTTTCAGGGATTCTATGGGCCAGCTCTCTGGGCACCATGTCTGATACACTTGAAAGCCTCTTCCATAGAATTTTCTTGCTGAATTTATGTGAGGTAGGTTGCCAGGTTTTTACTCATATCTCCCCATTTGCTCTACTTGGGACTGTCATGCAGAATGCGATAGCCAATGTGCATAACCAACTTGTACACAAATAGGTTAATTGGCACCTATCCAAATTGGCTCTATCAGCATGTCTTAGGAGTGTGAGAAGAACCCTGAGCAAACACAGGAGAACATGCAAACTCCATGCAGATAGTGTCCTGGCTGAGATTTAACCCAAAGATCTCAGTGCTGACCACTAAGCCCCTGCGCCAACCCCACTGTCTATTACACAGATGATAAGTCTTTGTCACTCCAAATACTACTATTTGTTGAAATCAAGAATTCTGTACTATTCTGGTTATCCTATGACTTTCAGCGTGTCTTTACTTAGCGGTGTGGGCTCATTTTGTCTGGCATCTACTGTTGAACCTCCATCCTCAGTCCTTGTCTCCCTCTGTTCCAACTACATACTAAGACTTGCTCACTCCACTGGATTGGAAGGTCATCTGAATAGGAATCTTAGATATATTTCTGTTGCTGACTGCCCTGTAGGAATAAGTACCTGCACATCTTGCTGCTGTCTCTGCTTTCAAGTCCTACCGCTGCTTGAAACTTATTATGGATAAAACCGAAGTGGTTATCTTTTTCTATCTAAATCTACTCCTCTGCCAGACATGACAATCACTGTTGATAACATCACAATCTTCCCAACTACTTTAGCTTTCTGCTTAAGTGTTATCGTGGACTAAAAACTCACATTTGCGCCACATAAATATGCCTTAAAGTGAACCTGTTTCTAAAATCAAAATAGTAAAAAATGTGATCTCTGCACATTAACCACTTGCCCTCCAGAGGATTTTCCCCCTTCCTGACCAGACCATTTTTTGCGTTACGGTGCTGCGTTACTTTAACTGACAATTGTGCTGAACACTGCACCCAAATGAAAGCTACATCCTTTTTTTTCCCACAAATAGATCTTTATTTCAGTGGTATTTGATCGCCTGTGTGTTTTTTATTTTTTGCGCTATAAAAAAAAAGACCAACAATTTCCTAGATTGTAAGCTCCAAGGAGCAGGGCCCTCCTATCCCTCTTGTATTAAATTGTATTGTTGCTGTATTGTCTCCAGTTATATTGTAAAGCGCTGAGCAAACCGTTGGCACTATATAAATCCTGTAACAATTTTGAGAAAAAAACAATATTTTTGACTTTTTTTCTATTAAATATGTCCAGTAAAAAAATTAAAAAAATCTAATTTCCTCATAAATTTAGGACAAAATGTATCCTGCTACATCCCAATACGTGTAAATTAATTGGCTTACGTGCAAGTTATAGCGTTTACAAATGCCAGTATATATACTGGGCTTTTTTTTATTTTTTTTTTCAATTTTTACTAGTAATGGTGGTGATCAGTGACTTATAGCAGGAGTGTGGCGGACATTCTGACATTAAGAGGAACTGACTTGGTGTCACTGACATCCCAAGTGACACCAATACAGTGATCAGTGCTAATAAAAAGCACTGACACTGTACTAATGGCACTGGGCATGAAGGGGTTAATATGTGGGGTGATCAATGGGTTAACTGTGAGCTGTTTTACAATGTGTGCTGTGTTTGTGCTTCACTGTTAGCACACTGCTTTTCATGGCTGTGCACAGCACAGCCATGCAAAGCAGTGTGCAGGAGTTGACAGGGAAAACTGATTTGTTTACTAACAGTTCTCCCCCCCATCAGAGATCCTCAGCAATCACCAGGCTCCGGCAAGTAATCACCGGCCAGGACTCCGTGATCAACAGCCATGGCCGTGAAGGGTGGTGTGGGTAGGGCTCGTGCATGCCTCGCTCGTGCCCCCTACCTGGAAATGCGAAATCACGTATATATACACGTGATTTTGCGCACAGCTCACTCCCTGTAGCAGAATTTTTTGCTATGGGGTGGAGCTGAAGCAGTTAAAGTGTTACTAAACCCACAACAGTAAAATCAGTCTGTATATGCAGTAAAGCATGCTTGTTATACTCACTGTGAAACCTAAGGGGTTAATCTACCGCATTGGATGTTTGATCCTCTCTTCTCTGATCCTCCCCTTCTTCTACTATCCTCAATCCGTCTGCTGATAGAACAGAGCGTTTGGGGGCAAGCTACACATGCTCAGTTTGGTGTGTATTGCTAGATTTTTTTTTTTCTTGGGAGAGTGCATGTGATCAGCACAGGGCCAATCAGCACTGTCCAGACAGAGGGTGAGGGGTCCTGCAGCCTCATAGGACAGCCATAGGATAATGAAAACTCCTACAAGCTTTAACCAGTGCTCTGCTGGACACTGATTGAAGTCACACTGCTGATGAGAAAAGGTATTTAGCAGTTTATATTTACTAAAATAGTTGCATATCAATGTTCAGCAAAAGTATGTTTTTTCCAGGACTTCTTGCCTGGAGTCCAAAAGCAATCAAATTTCAAGACCTAAAGAAGCTTCTCTAATGGTTACATCTTCAATACGCAATGATATACCCACTTGGCTTAGATTGGTAGCTAGCAACACAGTTCAGTTCTTTGATACTGTGGGAGTTGCCACTGATAGGCTGGACAGGCATTAAAATAAATGTGAATGGGTTCAATTCTTCACCCAGCATAGGTTTTACAGAAGCTGATTCAGCTGAATATCTTATTCATTGGCTCACAGGTATAATCTGTACGCCTGTAAGTCCTCAGTCTGCCCTACAGATTGTTCATCTAGCCAGTTCACTTCTCTTCTGCCCCACTATATCTCCTGTTCCCTCCACTGGAGCATCCTAGTCCTAAATACTATGATTTTCAGATTATGGCCCCCCAACTGCCTCCTGCATGGAGTAATTTGAGTTTATGTTCTCCTAGATTGTAAGCTCGTAAGAGTAGGGCCCTCTTACCCCCTCGTACGCTGTCTGTCTTTGTTGTACTGTGCCATGTATTGTCCCCCCCTATTGTACAGCGCTGAGCAAACCCTTTGGCGCTATATAAACTCGTAGTAATAATAATAATAATAATGTTCTCAGGCCTTATGAATCCATATTGCTCCTGACTCTGCTTATTGTTTACTGTTTATGGTTGACTTTAGCTTGAGTCGGTTGTCTTCTTTTTCTCTTTACAGTTTTGTCTGTACAAATCTATACAATCTGTACAAATCTATACCCCAGACCACCAAAGGACCTTTCCAAGACTTGGAGCACCTTTGCTGTTATGTCCTTGGAGTAATTAGATGCTTCTCTCATTGTTCCAGACTTTATAATATGATGACTCAGATGGTTGAACTTGTCCCATGGAATGAAAATGGTATGAACGACTCCTTAAAGCTTAGTTTGACTATGTTTGGTCTCTTAATCCCTGCTTGACTTGCCTGCCAGAGATGCATGTCTTTGTTGAGACTATCCATTGCTTACCAATCAGCTTATCCAATCAGCTTATCACTCCTATGCCTGTAGGGTGTGGTACATAGGGATATAGTGTTTTCTGTGAGCAGATCGGAGTAGACAGGGATGGAATGTACATTTTTCTACATTGTAAAATATTTGAACTAGAATGTGTTATAGTCAATGTACTGTATATCTCCTCCCTACTCACCTGAAGTTCTCCAACTGCTGCTTAGTTTTTTAGGTAACCTGTTGCCTCTCCCTGTACTTGTTGTGGTGGGAGAATTCAGTAATGTCCTAATTTACTCTTTAGACAGGCTCCCTTCCCCAATGTAATCACTGTCAAATCTCTAACCCTCTTCGGTAGGCTTTGATTTAAATTAGATCTTTATGATCTCTAGAGATTGTCCCATCCAGACAAGACTCAATACACATGATATTCATACAATAATCATGCTACTACACATGTGACTCAAAACTCCCTCTCCCATTAAAATTTGGACCTGGGCACCTCTGAATTTCTTACATATATCAGGTCTGTCAGAATGAAACCCGGAGGTTTCCCAGATCCCATCAGGGATATAGGGGCTAGCAGAGCTGAAGCCAGGTATGTTGCAGACCAAACACATGATAGACAGGTGTATTGAGGGAAGAAGTGGATAGACTTCTGGCTCAAAATTCTCACTCTCAATCAGCCAAAACCTACATTGGTGTCCTAAATACAATTCAGGTCAGCTGCGTACTCATTGTGCAGACATCCTTTAATTATTTACAACTTATTATTAATCATTTTCTCCTCTAGGGCCCAATATACCCATGCTGAATTACAGTGATACTATCCTGCCTGAACTGTCTGTGGAAAACTGATCTTTTTGTAGACTCCCCGTTAATGCTTTTTGAACTAGAGGTGACTGTGGTTAGCTTTTCTAAGACCCCCCCGAGTGGATCGCTTTCCTATTGAATTTTATAAATATAATGGAAGGTTCCACTGCCACAATTGGTGAAGCCTTTTGTACTGGTCAACTACTTCCTTCTATGTATGAAGTTGTAATTGTGGTGATACCCAAAAAAGAAAAACAAACATTACCTCTAGATTCCTACTGACACAAATCCTTACTTTGCACCGACATTAGGATTCTGGCCAAAGTGCTTTCCAACAAGTTAAATAAGGTCATTGTCAGGAGAGGCTTAGTAACCAGAAAAATTGCTGCTTGTGGTCGTGCATTGGGTGCTACTATTTAAACTGTACTTGTGCCTGATGTCTCTGCCATTTGGTCTAATTCATTCCTGATATCCTGATATCTGTATTCTGATCTTCTCATTTCCGGCCTGTTCTGTTTGACCTTGCTAGCACTCTGTATGCACAGTCCTTTGGCTTAATTCTGGAGTTAGTCTCTGCCTTCTCCTACTGCCTGTCTGCTTTGCAGTTGCCAGCTCCAGCCTGGACTCTGACCATTTTTCTGCCTGCCACTTTGTACCTGATCTGCTTGCCAGCTTCTTACTGACCCGGCTTGTCTGACCCTGTTGTCATCGTTACCCTGATGCCCACCAGTCCGCTGTATTCCTGCTAAGCACCTGCTACCTACTGCCCGAGATCTGCTGGTCTGCTGTACTACCACTCAGCATCCACAGGCCTGTCTGCATCCGGTACAGATGGATGATGCATCTGCTTCTGGTGTCCACAGCATGCTGCTTTACCACTCAGCATCCATGGCCTGCCTGCATCCAGTACAGACAGACGATGCATCTGCTTCTGACATCCCCAGTCAACCCACTCCCAGCTTGCAACTGATGCAGACGGACAACCAGCATCACAAATCTGTCATGCACTCGTGCAACTTCGGGCTCTCGTGCCTCCTGTCCACTCTATCAGGGGGGTACTGAGAAGGAGGTGTAAAAGTTTTCCTGCCTCTTCATGTCTGGCTCCATCCAGTGGTGTATTTAGCTTTTGTGCCCTAGGCAACACAAAAATTGGCTCCCCCCCCCACGGACATAGTCCAACAACCCCCCAGCTCCCCCCCATCCGAAAGCGCCTTCCACTACCACCTGGCAACCCCCCACCCCACCCCAGATAGAGAAAAAACACTCACCTTCACAGCTCTGGGACATCTCCAGGAACAAGAGTCAGGCTCTGCATACACATCAAACAGCCTGCAACCTCTCTCAGATCCCACCTGATCCCCGTGCTGCATGTGTCCCTACTTCCACTCCTTTTTTAGGGGACAGTGCCCCCCTGAAAAATGCCGCCCTAGGCAAATGCCTTGTTTGCGTTGTGGTAAATACACCCCTGGCTCCATCACCATGGACGTGATAGTCATATTCCCTTTTATACATTTTGATCAAACAAGCTTCATACCAAACCTTTGTAAAGCCACTAATATCAGACAGACATTTTTAAACATTCAGACCCTGAGAAATATTACAGGAAACAGGGTACTACTAACTTTAGATATCGTCAAAACCTTTGACATTGTTGAGTGGTACTGTATTTGGGCCATTCTCAAAAAATCTGGGTTCAGAGAGAAATTCAGAGAGAGTTAAACTGTTCTATGTTAGTCCTTAAACCTCTTTTTGGATGAATGGAATGAGTTGTCCCTCATTTTCTCTACATTGTGGGACCATAAAGGGTGATAGAGCCTCCTGCTGGTCTGCTACTTCAACCATCAGAGGTAGTCAAGGTCCGCAGGGGACTGCATGAGAAAAAAGTTTAGCTCTATGCCAACAAATATACTTCTTTTCTTTTATGATAGTCATTCCTCTCTTTCATCAGTTATATACCATGTAATAGGTTTGGCAAATTCTCTTATTTATATATTAACTAGGAAAAATCCATGCTGGTACTCCTGGACCCACACATCTTTCCCCACTAGCCCCAACTCCACCATTAAAGTAGTACCATTTAATAAGTAGCTAGAATTAACCATCTCCAAAGTTACATACTGTACAATTTCATCACCCATAATCTCCTTTCTTTACTTTCCAGATTTCAGATGCAGTGGTCCAGTGCAAACTCCCTTCTGCTTGATTCCTCTCACGTATATCAATAAGTGCAACTCTGTCTTTAAGGACTTAATATAGAAAGAACCCCTTAAATTAAACTCCAGTACCCCAAAGCCCTCAGTGGTCTTGCGGCCCTGAACCCTTGGGTTTCATTTATTGCTGCCCACTTCTGAAACATGACTGGCTGGGCATGCTGCAATCCACCTATGTCCTTGTATTGAATATTGTCTGCATTATTTCAGGATAGAAACCCATGACATCTATTCAAAGCTGCAACCATATCTCTGTATATCACTGCTTTAAGTGGGAAAGGTCTGGAAAGTTGCTAAGAACCAATTAGGGATTGCATACCAGTTTCATGCCCATCAAGCTTCTCCCAGAACATATTAAAACTGAAATAAACCCATTGATTTAACTGTTTCCTAGGAATTCCAGGAATGATAGCTGTCACAGTTGCTAATGCTTTCAACTTTCAAATTGTGAAGCCATCAAATAGCTGATGTTATAGCTAATCACATGTATAGCACAATGGAAACTACAGATCAAACAGAGGCTAAGATGCAGCTTCCTTGACAGGGAATAATAGGAGGGTTTAGTTCCACTTTAAATTACAAGAATTTCAGAGTTGAGAAAGAGCTGGTGTATCCAGCCTGTTTCAGCAATATGTGAATGGCAGTTATAAATGTTTCACCAAAAATCCCCCAAATTTGAATTCAAAATGGTTTTACCAGTACCCCCAACTATGATATGCACTTCAAGCACAGAACAATGCACTTACTAATTCTATTTCCCCCACCCCTCTGCTTGACACAGTAGTCCAAGCGGATACAACTAAAGGTCACATGGGGCAGCCCAGTGGCTAAATGGTTATCACTTTTGCCTGGCAGGACTAGGGTCATTGGTTCGAATCCCAACCACAGCACCACCTGCCTGGAGTTTGCATGTACTTCCTGTCCCTACGTGGGTTTCCTGCAGGTACTCCAGTTTCCTTCCACACTCCAAAGACATGCTGGTAGGTTAATTGGATCCTGTCTAAATTGGCCCTAATATGTGTATGTATAAGTGTAAGTTAGGGACTTTAGATTGTACATTCCTTGAGGGTTAGGGACTGATGTGAATGTACAATCTATATGTGTAAAGCTCTGTGTAAATTGACAGCACTATATAAGTACCTGTAATAAAAAATAAATAAAGGTCTTATATCAGAGGCTTACACACAGCTATTAGACAGATTTCTGCTTTGGTTTCTGCTACTATGTAAAAGAAGGCTTGAGGAAGAATTGGGTCCTATTACAGATGACATGCTTTAGTCTACCCAACTCATGTCTTTGTCTCCCTCACAACAACCAGCACAGGTCTTCATTATACAGTGAGGAACAGAAGTTTTTGAACACCCTGCAATTTTGCAAGTTCTCCCACTTAGAAATCATGGAGGGGTCTGAAATTGACATTGTAGGTGCATTCCCACTCTGAGAGACAGAAGTTTAAAAAAAAAATTCAGGAAATCACATTGTATGATTTTTAAAGAATTTATTTGTCTTGCACTGCTGAACATAAGTATTTGAACACCTAAGAAACAGCGAGAATTCTGGCTCCCGAAGACCTGTTACTGTACCTTTAAAAAGTCCACCTCTACTCCACTCATTAATCTAACTTAGTAGCACCTGTCTGAGCTCTTTAACCTCCCTGGCGGTATGATTATTTCAGATTTTTGGTGCTGAAAGCGGTACCATTTTTTTGCATGGAAATATGTATTTTTTTTATTGTAGGCTGTAATTTTTAGGAAAAACTCACTGAAATCTGTCCGAACAAGAGTCTAGTAAACATCCCGGGTATGATAAAATTTGAAACACAAAATCATAAATTATAATTTAATAAATAATCATAAAAATAATATAAAAAATAATAAAAAAATTTAATTCAATAATATAATCAAACCAAAAACACTGAAATGTGAAATATAGCGCCAAGTTCGCACATCTCTGAGCAAAGTTGCAAAATCGTTTTCAGTGTCTGATGACGAATTTCCCCCACGAATCATTATCACTCAATTCTGCAAGTGGTTCTGATTTACTATCGCTGTTCTCTAGCTGATCTAAACCGCTTTTGACCTAAAGGGACACTTTTTGGACGCCATGGACATTTCTCAGTTTCCAGGCAGAAAGAACAGACAAAATGCAGGCAGGGCACAGGACAAAGCACTAGGGACAATATGTATGTGAAATTGGTTGAAACAGCAATGTTTTACTATGAAAAATGTAAAAAAAAAAAAATGACATTTTTTAAAATTTTTAAATTTCCCGCCGCCGGCGGCGGCGGCGCCCGTACGTCCCGACGTCACAGGGACAGGACACAGAAGCCGGATGCCGGCATCGGCCGAAGGAGATGGCCGGGGACGCTGCAGGGGGACACATCGTGGGAGCGCAGGGTAAGGTAAGTGAAGACAACATGCCGGAGCAGTGCCGCAGGGTAAGCCCGAGTGTAGCTCGGGGTTACCGCTTTTGGTACTGAAATGTTACCCCGAGCTACACTCGGGAATACCGTCAAGGAGGTTAAAGACATCTGTCCACCCCACAGTCAGTCAGACGCCAACTACTACCATGGGCAAGACCAAAGAGCTGTCAAAAGACACCAGAGACAAAATGGTGGACCTCCACAAGGCTGGAAAGGGCTACGGGGCAATTGCCAAGCAGCTTGGTGAAAATAGATCAACTGTTGGAGCAATTGTTAGATAATGGAAGAGGCTAAAGACGACTGTCAGTCTCCCTCGGACTGGGGCTCCATGCAAGATCTCACCTCGTGGAGTATCACTGATGATAAGAAAGGTGAGGAATCAGCCCAGAACTACAAGGGAGGAGATGGTCAATGAAATGAAGAGAGCTGGGAACACAGTTTCAAAAGGTCACTGTTGGTAGAACACTATGCCGTCATGGTTTCAAATCATGCATTGCACGGAGGGTTCCCCTGCTCAAGGTCTCTGAGCTGTTTCCTACTGCAGCAAATGTGGTCACCTCTAAGAGAGCCTCATACATTTTCTCTAGTACTGCCTTGAATTTATACTGAGATGAAGTTATTAAAATGGTTATTGGTCTTCTTGGGGCCAATCCTATTGCAGACTCACTTGCATTTGTCTTTGGCAATTACTAGATCATTATTTGTTGTTCGCAGGATGATAGCTTTAAAGTGGCTGTCACCCAATTCTCCTTCAGTAAAAGAATGGATTACTGAACTCAAAAGATGCATCTCATTTGAAAAGCAAACCTATTTTACACCTATTACACTTCCATTTTGTTCCTTGACAATGAGTATCTGGCCTGACAAATTACATACATGATACCAAGGTGATTAGACTAATGGACTGAGTCACCGATGTGCCTATAAATGTTGGGGTATATTTATGACACTCGTTTGAAATGAGGACACCACTTGGGTGAGTGGTGAAATGTCTTGACATTACAGAACAAGCCCAGTTGAATGTTAATCACTGCTATATCTAGCTAAACTGGTGAACGATGTATTGGAAGGATTTAAGAAAGCTGAATTGAAGGTGAATTTAGGAGACTAAGTACATGACAACACATAAAGTAAAAATATTGTGGAGAGAGAGAATACAGGTGACAAGGTAAATTGATTCTGCTACCTGGGTTCCATGATAAATGAAGACGATGTATTCCAGGAAACAAAAGCAAACATAGCTGCTGGAGATATTATTGTTATTATTCATTATGAGATCAAGACTGTTGTGACAGCATTCTAAATTTCAGATCTAAACAGTAGGACTATGCAAAACCTATTACTATACATACAGTGGAGATCTGAAAGCTAACAAAAAACCACAGGTATAGAAACTTAACAGGTAGGAAAAAATGTCTTATGAACAATTTTTGGAGGGAATATAAATGGAGAATAAGAAAAGGAAGGCCAATTAAAGATTTAGAAAACAGTATTAATTACTAGGTATAGTAAAGGATATATTAAGTCATTATCTTAGATGAATTCATTAAAGGGTTACTAAACCCACAACAGTAAAATCAGTCTGTATACGTAGTAAAGCATGCTTGTTATACTCACTGTGGAACCTAAGGGGTTAATCCTCTGCATTGAGAAAAAAGACTGTTTGATCCTTTCTTCTCTTTTCCTCCCCTTTTTCAAGCGACCACCACTTATTTCCAGACTGAACCGTAGGCATGCACATGCTCAGTTTGGTGTATATTGCTAAAGAGTTTTTTTTTTCTTGGGAGAATGCATGTGATCAGCATAGGGCCAATCAGCACTGTCCAGACAGAGGTCAGAGGATTTCCATCCTTCTAGAGCAGAAAGAAAACTCCTACAAGCTTTAGCTAGTGCTGGGCTGGACACTGATAGAAGTCACAAGACTGCTCTAACTGCTGATGAGAAAAGGTATTTAGCAGTTTACATTTACTAAAATAATTGCACTTCCCCTTCTGTGTACTGTGGAAGACCGGATATAGTGAATGTAGGGTCCGGGGTTTAGTAACACTTTAAGTGATGATGATGGGAGAAAAAAATTCTAAGGAAGATTTAAAAGGAAGAAGAGAAGAGTAAAGAAAGATGGATTAGCAATATGGAAGGCCTTAGACATCTGCCAGCTAGAAGATGAGCAGTGAATAGAGTAGAATGACCCAACATTGTACATAAGGCCACCATGAAAAAATGCAAGTTGCAAAGGATTAAATGTAAATAAGTATACTAATTGAAGTTAGATCGGTAAAATATATATTTTAATTGGATAGTAAAGGATGGATACTACTGTATTTTACAGTGTTTTTCTCTTTGCACCTTTGCATTTTAAGTTCAAAGCTTTTGTGTATGTTCTAATGTTAAAAATATGGCCTCTGTTTACAGCACTGCAGAAAATATATACAGGCACTTTGAAAAAGAATTATTGTATAAGACTTTTAATTGAGTTACCACATACATAAGCCTAAAAATCATTTTAATAAAGGTTTAGTATTTAGTGATGAGCCAAACTGCCCTGAGTTCTGTTTGGCAGGGGTTTGCCGAACGTCATAGAAGTTCAAATGCTAAGGGAGGGTTGACCTGGCATCATCCTGACAGGACTTTAATGAGTTAGTCGGAGATACCGGTTGGGCCCCGGTTCTCAGCCAGCCCTTACTGCCCTACATTTGATGTTTGACTTACCTTATTTGGGTTCTGTTTGGTGTTTTTATTGTATTCTTTTGTTTTTAGTTTAGTTATTGTTTTTCCTCCTGCAATTGGGTGTGGCCTCTTGACTCCACAGACCTGCTTGTGCACACATTATGACCATATTATATTTGTTTTTTATGGCATTGTATCTGATCAGCTGCTGACCTGTATTTTCTGTATCTGTGGATACCTGTCTTTGTTATTTTGTTTTATATTGTGAATAAATCTTGTTATGGAAAAAAGAAGTTTAAATACTGAATCCAAACCCCTAAGAAATCAATGAAAGCTTAATTTATCAGCACAACCAAAGTCTCATCAAAGTCACACTATATAATGGCACTGAAAACTGAGTCAAAATTGCATCATGGTTGTCTGAACTGAGCCTTAAAAATGCCCATTTTCATGATACTATTAACCAGAAGATAGTTGAACTAGTATACGGTGGTTGTACATTTGGGGAGCCTCTCTCGCCCGCTCATAGCCTGGTCCCTGCACCCCCATACCTGACCTTTGGATGTTATCTCCCGTGTGTTGGCTTGAGGGAACCTACAGTTGCTTGTCCTGGGGCCCAGAGACAGAACGGCACTTGTCCCACCCAGCCATTTATGTACAGTGGCCGAGTGGGAAGCGGTTAAACAGTTGAATTTTTTCATTGTAGATGTAATTTTTGATGTAGCACACGCTACCATACCTTACACAAAAAGACAACAGCAAAATGTGTGAGGTCCTCCAGGAATTCCACACCAAACCCTTAACCGAGCATGCCACCTGGCTGGCCAGGAAAGTATGTGTGTGTGTGGAGTGTGGGCCCCCCTCCTAAACCATACTACATGCCCTCAACATGAGAGGACCTGGTCATATAAAGGAAGAGGTGGGATACTGGTGACATCATTAGCCAAATATGGCCAAATTAGGCAATTATGTAAGGCTTCTTTCCCCCTTTCATTTGTATATGTGGCTTTCCTAAAATATGGAGGACCACAAAAAACCTTACAGGTACATCTTAGCAAAGCTTTTTGCAATAATAACTGTGGTTTATCTGGTCATAGTTTGTCTAAGCACTATGTCAGAGTTCAGAATAAAAATCCTGCAGGCACCTTATTTCTTGGTATTGATATGACAGGTATGTGTTTTTTTTCTTTGTATTATTTGCATCTCTTTGCACCATTGGATTTTTCTATTTACTTTTTAACAATATATATTTTTGTTTTAGTGCTTTCATATAGACTTTTAAATAATGTTTTAATTATTATATATACAATGGATATCTGGTTTCTGAGCCCCTGATGACGTCAGTGTGTGATGAAATGCATTGGAAAGAGCCAGGACATGGTGGCATCATTGTGCATACTAGCCAATCCATGCTATCTCATGGTGGATTGTATTAAATACTGTGGCAGTACTTAATTTAACTATCTGAGAGTGTACACTTTTCTATTTTAATGAATGGCTTTATACCATTTACTACACTATTGTGCCTATGTTTTTCTGCTTATTGTCTCTCTCATATATATGCTGCATAGAGCTGGAGTTTTTACCCCGTGGACTGAGCACAGTTACTGACTGTAAGGGACAGATTTACTAAAACTGCTACACTCAAATCTGGAGCAGCTGTGCATGGTAGCCAATCAGCTTCTAACCTCAGCTTATTCAGTTAAGCTTTGGGAATAAAACCTGGAAGCTAACTGGTTTCTATACAGAAGTGAGCTTGATTTTGCACTCTACAGCTTTAGTTAAGAAACCCCTAAGTGTGCTTTTGACCATTTTTAACCTTATGGTAAGCTGTTTGGCTGTCTATTGGGAGAAGTGTACTTTTACTGTTGGAGCTTTTTGGCGAGGAAGCATCATCACTCAGTTTGGGTTCAGGAACCTATTGAAGTGTCACATCACGCAGTGTGCGCCTGTTTGGTTCACAATTTGTTTTATCACATGTAAGTGTAGGGCACTTTGTGGTTTCACTTAATATTATTATAATACATGCTACACTATGGGGTTGGTTTACTAAAACTGGAGCACTCGAAATCTGGTGTAGCTGTGTATGGTGGCCAGTCAGCTTCCAACTTCAGCTTGTACAATTAACCTTTGCAAATAAACCTGGAAGCTGATTGGTTTCTATGTAGAGCTGCACCAGATTTTGCACTCATCAGTTTTAGAAAGTCAACCCCTATGTGTGCTCTTTTCTTTTCTGTCTGTATCTTTCTTTTATAAAGGATAACAGTTATTTCTTTTATAATGGATTGCTATTGAGGGTGAGTGGAATCCTCTAATTCAGGGGTCTCCAAATTTTCTAAGAAAAGGGCCTATGTACTGTTCTTTAGGATTTAGGGGGCCAGACTGTGGCCAGTGGGAGAAGAAAATGCCCCAGCATCAGTAGCCCATCATTGGTTTTAATGGGCGGAATAATGCCCCATTGTTGATATGAGTGACAAGAATAGTAATCCATTGTTGATATCAGTAAGAAGAATAGTGCCCCATTGATGTTGTCAGTAGGAGGAATGGTGCTCCATCATTGACAGTTGGTGGAATAGTGCCTCAAGGGCCAGATAAAGGCCGCAGTTTGGAGACCACTGCTCTAATTGATGTCCAGGCTGAATGGCCTACTATTACTACATGCTTCATGACCACTCAGCAATAGGGGTAAAACAGTTCTGATAAGGGGTGTGGCTTGTCATTGTGTATGATATACAGATGGCTTTTTTGTGCATGAGAATTCATTACAGTGTGTGTACAGTGGACTTTATTTTATTGCATCAAACTGTTAATATTTGCACATGTTGCAATTGTTACCTTGAAATTACATTGCTGTTTTTTGTGTTCATTTCAATTACTTTAAAGGATACATTCACCTGTTGGGAAAAAAAAATAATAAATGCATATATTTTTTTCAGGAAAAAAATGTGCATTTATTATTTTTTTTCATAAGGAGCCTGGTAAGAATTTGCACCCATGATCAGTGGATCAGGGGTGCAATGCCAAACTCATGCAGACAAGCCCTGCAGTTTTCAACCCGCATCTTCATATGGGCTGCTCATGAGCGACCCCCTGTGGTCCATTCAGTATTACAAGCCATCAGCCCCAAAGTTTGTACAATCACAGGAAACTGATTTTTCAAACAACGACAGCAGGAAATGATCCCCCACTCTCTGTCACTGGGAGGGGGAGAGGCTGCAGCTTCTGGAACAGGTTACATGTTTAACCCTAAATACATGTGGAACATGTATCATGTTTCAAAAGGTGAACTTATCCTTTAAGTGCTGCACTTTTCTGTTTTTGAGTTTCTTCTAAGTGCATGGGCTGGGTGGTGTCAGTAGTTGATAAGGGCATAGCAGCTGTCACCAGCCACTGATCCTTAAAGCAGAGTTCCAGCTGAAAAAAAAAAAAATAAAAGTCAGCAGCTACAAAAACTGTAGCTGCTGACTTGTAAAGTACAGCCGCTTACCTGTCCCTCGGTCCAGTGGTGTCCTCACCACTGCTGGTTTCACTGGCTGTCTTCTCTCCTTGGCGCCGGCATCTTTAGTGTGGGCACCGGGCTGTGAAAGCTTGCGGCTTCACAGCCTGGTGCCCACTGCGCATGCTCGAGACGTTCTGCGCTTTGTGAATGGCCCTGTAGTCTTCTGGGACCTGTCAGGTGTCTCAGAAGACTATGGCGAGGGAGGGGGGAGGACAACTTCCGCTTCCAATCGCCTAGGTGATTGGACCGGAAGTGGTAGCGGGTACCTGTCAAATTCGGGTACCCTTCCCTCCCCACTCCCCAAAGGTGCCAATCCTTAATGGGGAGCGGGTGACAAAGCATTGAAGCGGAACTTCCCATTTTGTGTGGAGCTCCACTTTAACAGCCATTGACAGCATTGACTAAAAATGGTTGTGTGTGATTGTGTGACCATATTTAGACAGCTATGTAATCCGCTCCATTCTCTGCCCATTTGATTACATAGCAACGGATTCCTGGCTATGTAAGTGAATGGGTCAGTTGGCATCAGCTGTGGGCACCTGCTGCTTCCTTAGCAACTATTGGCAGTCATAAACTGTCACATTCATTTTCATGTTTTATGGGCCTGTCACATTTGTTTATGCTGAATGCTGTAAAAGTGTCAAGGTCCTACCTTTTCCCTGAGGTTATGTTACTCCATGTGCTGGCGTCCATCTTGGATTCTGCTGTGCATGGTGGGAATCCTTTTATGCCTTCAGGTCTCTGAGGTCCATCCCCCAGAGGGGTGTGGCTGATGACATATAAGCCTGTGGCCCGCACATGCTCTT